GATATTCTTAGATATCTTATCTAATCCTTTAAAAAGATTAATTTAAGATTATATTACTTAGTTTTTTAGATATTATATTTTTAACTAATAATTAACTATAGATTTTATAGTTTTATTATTAAATATTAGTAATTTAAGATTTAAATATTAATTTAAGTAGTTTTTCTAGAGCTTCTTTTCTAAGATATCTTAACCTTAGATATTATAGGTATTTCTTATTTAAATTAGGAATTTCCTTTACTTTAGTTACTTTTTCTTAGTTACTTAGAATAAGTAATATTACTTTTTCCTTATTTAATCCTAGTTTTTATTATTTAATCTTCTAATTAAAAAATATAATATTATTATATATTTCTAATTAGTAAATTACTTAGTTATTAAGTAAAGAACCTTATCTTAAAGTATTATCTAAAAGTAATAACTAAATATCTATTTTTATAAATAATTAAATAGCTAATATAATATTAGTATAAAATCTAAGAAATATAATAAACCTTAGTTAAAATTATTAATTAGTTCTTAGTCTTCTTTATTTTAATAATATTTTTTAAGATTCTCTTCTTAATATTAATAACTATAGTTAAGTAATTACTAGCTCTAAGTATATAATTATTAACTTCCTTATAAAAATCTAGATTAAAAAGAGATTTATTATTTATAATATATACTATAATATAATTATTAAATAATATATATAAATAATATTTATATCTTTTACTATTTATTATAATAAAAAAATTAAGTTTTTTTAGAAAAACTATAATAATTAAGTCTATTTCTTATTAATTTAAGTATAAGTCTTTTAATAAATTTTACCTTAAATTTTATAACTTTAAGCTTAAATCTTTCTATTTAGGTATCTTTAGGTTATCTAAAATAACTTTTACCTTTAAATTAATAACTTTAATATTAGGTTTTAATTCTTTAAAATAAACTTTATTAACTACCTTATATTTTTTAGGTATTTATTTATATATTTTATTTTCTTTTTTATATAGATATTTATATCTTTTATTATTATTCTTTTAAGAGCTTATATTTTTAGTTTTTTAAATATTATTACTAAAAACTAAAAATATATTTTTCTTTTTCTTTTTTAAGAATTTATTTTATTTAATATTTTCTTTATATATATCTATAATACTTCTAAGATTATAAGAAAATTCCTTTTTTATTACTAAGGTATTTAAGATATCTCTTTTTATATATTTAGCCTAAACTAGTATTAGTTTCTCCCCTAAAACTTCTAAAATATTTATAATTATAATTATTTCTTTAATTTCTAGAATATTATATAATTATATTACTTAATATACCTTTTCCTATTTCTATAACTAACTTTCTATATTATTTAAAGTTATAATTATAATTTCTAAGACTTTTTAATATTATCTAGTAATATTATTCTTTATTATTTAATTATTAAGTATAATAATTGATTTTAGCTTTTTAATATATCCTTTTAATATCTTAAGTTCTAGAGATAGTTTTTTAGATTTAGCTTTTAAATTAATACTTAATTTAATTCTTTTATATAAATTAATATTAACTATTTTTATTATTTATATTTAAACTTTATTAAGATTATCTTTATATTTTATAATTTTTTCTATTTCTTCTTTTTACTTTTCTTTTATATTTTTATATATAAAAACCTTAGTTTAAATATTAATATTTTAAAAATTAGAAGTTAAAGTATATTTATCTTATAACTTATCTTCTAGCTCTTTATAAAAATTATTTTTAATATAAATAATATTAAGATCTATATATTCCTATATATTTTTAACTAATATATATAATTTAAGCTAAATAAGCTACTTATATTAATATTTAATATTATAAAGCTTTAGACCTATATAAGTAATTAAATTTAAGACCTTATTAGATATTTTTAGTAATATCTTAATATTAGAATCTTAGGTATAAGGTATAACTAAATATTTTTAAAAAAA